GCGCGACATCTTCCACATTCACCATCTTCACTGGAGAAACCGTCGACGACAACGGAGTATAAGGTCTCCATAGCTTCAATCTTCCATTTGTAAGCTATTTGCCCACATTTTATTCCTCCAAAGCAGCCAGGAACCATAATCTTCGGCACGTTCTGCAGCCAAGGGAAACTAGGTATGAGACGAATTGAACTTCGAGATTGATGTATTTGCAAGACCCCTCATCGAATTCAATTTTTGTGCACTATCACACATGAAGTTTGGTTCGACAGATGTAGTTTTCAAATTCGACACTTCTCAATTTGTTTTTTCCTTCACTGCAAAAAATCTGTCACTACGTTGTGTTGTTTCGTAGGGTGCAATGACTGGGAAGAATCGTGGTATTTGTCATAGCTGTAGACGCCAGAGACTTTTTTTTGCTGAATGCCCAAATAAACGCCATTGCCCCTGGTGTAAACATGCATTTCTCAAGTGTTTCGAGGTGGAGAAGGACACCAAGAACAAATGGCGATTATTCAATTGTTGTAGCTCGAAATGCGGATATTGGGATTGGGTGAACAAGGGTGAAACTAGTTGTAAATCAAAGTCAGTTAGCATTACAACGAGTACTCCCATGGCGACCGAAGCAGCAAAAGAACTCTGTGGCATGTTCGAAACTCAGTGTAGTTAAACGAACATCTTGAGGTTTCTGTGAGTGTGACAGTTCATAAAGGAAGCCCAAGTGTGGAAATGGTGGACAAAGGAAAGGGGAAGGCATGAGTTGTTGATCTGATTGGATAAATGATAATGTCATTTTGTAGATGAATTAGTAGTTTGCTTAGGTTGCTTTGTGTAGTGTGGAAAGTTGTATTTTGTTGAATCTTAATAAATGAGTTAGCTACATTTGCAAGTGGCAGAGTATTTTTTTTTTTCTCTTCTTCAATAAGTATTTCCCTGTAATAGTAATCAACCATGACAACTACTACCTAAATGGAGCAACAAAACAAAAGACGAATGTCTGCATAATCAATAGGAAACTGGAGTACATTAGAACAGGAAGAATGTCTACTGGTGAGCAAATTATAAGGTCATGTCCACCAGTTGTTCATAATTCAAGACAAATCAATAGACAGTAGCTTAGTTCTAAATAAAATGTAGTTTTTGCTCTTCCCTCCAGTGTTCCATTTCAGCATTAACCAAGCATTCATATAGTTGCACTGACTGAAGAGCAGATCATTGGTAAGGTAGTGGATTGAATACGAAATCATATGTTTGCGGCATTTCTGTAGAATGCAAGCATTAATATGCAAAATTGCAAAGATGCTGGGAGTGAAATGTGCCACAAAGGATGTAACCTAATTACCTTGAGGTTGTGGGATGAAATTGGACGACTGTAATTGTTGTATAACTTGAAGATGTTGGTTGACACCCTACATGAAAGGATAGCATAAGTTTCACGTAAAATTAATATCGAATGTACATTATCTATATATGCTAACCATAAGCATTTGTGAGTATGGTAACGGCATCGGCATGGGATAAGCAGCTTGTTGAGGTGGTTGAACAACTGGTACGCCAACTCCCACATTACTCCCACATGCTTTGACTCTTTTTCCTTAGGTTGAACTGGAAGATGCCTACATAACATACACGTATATTATCTATTAGGCATGTTTAGAAGATAATACCATTGAGATGCAAAATTTGAACATACTTTTACCTTATGCTTAATAGATTCCAATGGGCTCTTTTTACGAAGTTTGCATGGCGCGCCCTTCCTCTTTACACATTTTGGATCCCTTACACTTCCGCTACCACTATCATGGGATGTTCGACACTGAGACACTATTTCAGTATGGTGGGCCAATACATTACTCCCACAACCTGACTCCGATGTCATCATATTTTGCACTTAGATTCGATCCACTTAAATATAGCATCAGTTTCAACATCATCATCTGCAGTCATGTCCGCCAATGTAGCGAAACATTTTACCATTTTGTCGGACCTCAGCTGTGCAGTAGTACTACTCAAACCATCATAGTTCACTGCGACCCTCGTGTGGACTCTATGAACATCTCTACGCCATCTTCGTAATATGTATCTTTCTAGCAACTTCTTCACGTCATTACGAATCAATACTACGATCGCATGTCTGCATATTATTCCTCTAAACTCGAACAAGTGGCAAGAGCATGTAATTTCACAGTTGTCACTCTGAAATGAGATGAGGAATGTTTTTTTCTTCGATAGATTGTCATGTATAACATCCTCACATACCTCGTACGTTGTTCTGCACAGTCCTTTCGAAACAGATATGAGGTCACAATAAACCTTTCCAGCAAACTCCTGTTGAACTTCCTTGAATTTCTCAATTGTGCAAAACTTTTTGGAATTGCTTTTCAATTTCATACCTTGTCGCACAAGTTATCATTTGCGAGTAAGACTTGAAATCTGCTTGAAACTCCTTCTCAACTTTATTTCTCAATGCTCGTTCGTACTGTTCAACAAATTATTTTAGCGAAGTCTTCGAATGCACATATCCATTGAAGAACGCATTTACACTGTCACTGCGCTGAGTTGTTGACATCCTTGCCCAAAAAGTGATTTTTAAATAGCATGGAACCCAACGGCCTCTGTTATCATACAATTCTGACAACCAGTCATTATCAAGCAAATTATACATTTCTGTCATCACTCTCCAACCTTCTTCAAACTCCTCAACAACATGACAATCGTACACCAATCTATGTATAGTAAAAAATATCGGAGCTTTGTCCACATGGTATCCAAATTTCTCTGGCAACTTCTTTAAAATGTGTCACAAACACCATCTATGCTTCGTGTTGGGGAACACGATCTGAATTGCATTTTGCATGGCCCTAACCTGATCAGTTATTATCCCATGTGGAGCTTTTCCATGCATGCATTGTAGCCATGTCCTGAACAGCCACACAAACGTATCTGTATCCTCGTTCGATAGCAGACCACATTCAAGAAGTGTGGATTGTCCATGATGATTCACTCCAACAAAAGGGGCAAACGGCATGTCATACTTATTCGTGAGGTACGTGGTGTCAAATGTGACAACATCGCCGAACTCTTTACATACTTGTCTACTCCTATTGTCTGCCCAGAAAACATTCTTTAGCCGAGACTCTTCATCCAAATCTATACTGAAGTAAAAGCCTGAGCACTGTGCTTACATTTTCGAAAAGTATGCTTGTATTGCTACGGATCTCCTTCTCCAAGTTTTAACTGCCTAACTTGTTCAACATAATTTCGACAGTCCTTTTCTATGAAAGTCATGTTCTCATATCCACCCGCTTCTACAAATGCAGAGTTGTAACTTTTATATAACGGAATTCCTGCCATATTGTTTACTTCAAGTCGCCGTTTGACAAGTGCACTCAATTCTCGATTGCAACGATATAGTCTCGACTTCGACGGACTTGTTTCATGATTGTGATCGAGGTTTACTGTGTTAATTCTCCATATTCCCCGAATATCCGAAGATGCAGTCAACCTCACTTAACATCCATTTTGAACGGTTGTTTGCGACTTCAAAGAACCACTTATATTATATCCATTTTTCCCTTCACGACTACAAACAAATGTAACATATCTCATAACTCCATCATCGTCCTTTTTCGAATTTCTCTTCCTAACGGGGAAACCTACATTGTATGCATATCTTTTGTAAAACTCAAACATTTTGTTTTCGTCTTTAAACTTCATCCTCACCTTAGGCAACATCGCACCCCTTCCTCCTAACATTTCCTCATCAGATAACTTCATATTGTCTGTAACATTGTCGTTATCCAAATCCACAAATGTAAACTCATCCTCAACTTCCAAAATTTCCTTCCCTATGACAAAAGCCCAATTACAATGTTAATACCACTTCCAATTTACTAAAATGAGAACATTGACACAGAATTATAATGAAAATGAGAGCAATCACATGAAATTACAATCTTTTTATTAGTATAAATATGGGCAGATCGATTCCAACTACGTCTAAAAAAAAGTTCAAAATCAGCTCCATCCTGCTCGTATATTACATTTCATGTCCTATTCCACTAAAAGGTTGTTCCCCAACAGTAAAAAATTGAGTAAATACATTCCATTACTTTTCAAAATTAGAACCAATTATCCTGTATATTGGTTGTTCCCCAACAATAAAAAATTGAGTAAATAGATTCCATTACTTTTCAAAATTAGAACCAAAGATTCTGTAAAATGGGTTCCCCAACACCAAAGATTGAGTAAAATGGATTCCATCACGTTTCAAAATATTTCGACCGTCGCAATTTACCTTTTTCCATCATCCCCTCCATTGTTATAGAGTTTCACCTCCTTTCTGCTCGATGTCGGAACTCGGGATATTGGGTCGAACAGTATGGGGAATAACAAGCGGTGTAAAATTTGGGCTAGAGGATTGAAGAAATTTTCGCCAAAAGGACTGGAAGTGTAGCTGAAGAAGTGTTTCTGCAAAAGTAGCGCCAATGTTGAAAGAGGTGAAGAAATGGTGCCTAAATGAATTGTAAATGGGCCAACCCGTTATCTGCCCATTTTATGTTTCTTTTAATTTTTGAATTTATTCCCTATTTCCACGTCATTCTGTCCTCCAGCGAGTCAACGGCTATGTTACATTACCATTATTGCTTCAATATATATGTGTTTTGCTCCAAGTACAAGAGCAAAACCTATCGGGGCGTGTCAGGTTACTCACACTGGCGGGCTCCACATATTTAAAAAAAAAGAAAAAAAATACATCTCCTCCATCCTCTATTAATGGCTTGGCAGTGAACCCACCCCCCCTCCCTTCTCCCCTGTACGTGTATCATTGCCCTATATATATGAAATTCAGTTCGATAAATCATACAGATTTATCTTCCATATTTCATGCGTTTGATATTAACCTAGCTATTTGATTTATTCTCAAGATACATGCAAAAAAACATGTTTCAGCAAGCTACTATGATCAATATTTTCTTGTTGGTTTCACTTGCAGCCCTTTTCTACTCCAACTCTGGAGCTGCAGCTTCCACTGCTGCCTCCGCCGCCACCTCAAAGCCGGGATGCCAATCGAAGTGTGGAGACTTAATTGTCCCATACCCTTTTGGAATTGGACTAGGAACAAACTGTTCAGTGGGCTCATGGTTTGATATAAACTGCAGTACCACTTTCGACCCTCCAAAGGCTTTCATTGGACCCACAAACCTCAAAATTATCAACGTACTGAAGAAACAATACGTATCAAGAATTGGTGGCAGCCAAATGCTATAACCAAACTGGTAGCATAACCTGCCAAAACCCCGCATGGGTCAACTTAACCGGAACTCCTTATAGCTTCGCTGATTCGAACAAGTTCACGGTGGTGGGCTGCGATGAACTGGCAATTATTGTAGGCATGAGTGGCTGGAATTTCACCAGTGTCTCTGTCTCTTTGTTCGGAAAGTGAAGATTTGATTGACGGGTTTTGTACAAGTAATGTGTTGGAATATTCTCCAGCCCAAATCAGCCCAACAGCAACACCATCAGCCCAACACCAGTTCAACAGCAACTCACGTTCTTCAGCAAACCAGCAGCTCCAGTTTCTTCTTCCTGAAATCTAGCATATTCTAGTTCCTTCTTAAGTTTGTTAGATAATTGGTTAGCTAATTTTCTCTATAAATAGATTAGTTGCCTTGTAATTTCCTTAAGCAAGTATGAATGAAAACTTCAACTTCTTCCCTGTTGTTCACAGCACGCCTATCCGGTTTTTCTCTGTTATGTTATTTTCGTTTTGTTCAGTTCTTTAATTTCAGCTTCCAATTGTTTCCCTTCCCTTATTTTATCATAATGGTTGCCATTTTTATTTATTTATTTTTTAACTAAACCACTATAGGTAGCTTATTTTATTAAAAAACGAATAAACGTAGTACAGATCTTGAAGGGGACACAACCTTAAATCCAATTAAAGGTTACAAAATTTGAACAGGTATTGGTTGTTGCTAGACTTCTATACCAAAAGGCCTAAAGGCTTTTTCTTCTGCACTTGGAAGCCTCAATAATCATACTAAAGTCTGGTCCTTTGATCCCTGTGGTTATGCTTTTCTTGGAGATCAGGATATCTTTAAATTTCGGACGTCCGATTTTTCTGATGAAAAGTTACTAAAGAGCACGACTGAAAATGTGCCAATAGTGATTGATTGGGCTATTGGGAATCAGAGTTACAGTGAGGCCAAAAAGTACAATCATGATACATGTACACTTCATTTGACATCTAGTTTAACATTGTGCCACATGTTGTAGTATGAGTGAACAGTTTTAAAATAAAATAAACTTTCCCGCCCATTTGCATTTGAAAATACATAGTGTCAAACTCCATTTCAACCAATTATGCTTGTCTTGAGAACAGTGTTTGTGTTGATTATGACACGATTCTTGGTGGATACCGCTGTAATTGCTCGACAGGATATGAGGGGCAATCCGTATCTAAGTCCAGGCTGCACAGGTTAGTTTTTTGATGATTAGTTATGAAAATTATCTCAGCAAATTTTGTTGAAAATTCTCACATGTATGTCCCGCGGAGAAAATCGGTTGAGAAAGCTGGTTTCACACATGGCCAAAGATGCTGGTTAATCGTTGAACTTTGAAAAATGATGTTGTTCTTACATTCATCAATAAACGGTAAAAAAGGACCTTACATTCATATTATAGAGATAAATTGTCGAAAATCAACATTTTTTTGTAATATCTTGTTAAACTTGTTGGTAATGTTTTCTTTTTTGACTAATGTTAGGCAGTATTGTCCAATAATAATTGGTGAGAATTTTCTGTTTTCTTGTGAAAATTTTGGGAAAATGGGATAAGTAGATGTGAGGTCCTTGTCATTGAAAAGTATTCATTTCTTGCCGTAACTAACCTTGATGAAATAAAATATTCTCTTCATCATCAATCCTATATTCCATGCAAATAGACATGTAGTATACACTATTTTCAAACTTAGTTTTTCAGTAAGCCACTCTAGGTGGCGTGTTCAGCCTTAGTTTGGATATATATAATCTGCAAAACACTAGTAACATGACATATCAATTAATTGATGAATAAATCCATGATAAGCCCAAAAATTAAATTATTTACCAAGATATGTAATATCATCGGTGCTTAACTTATGCTAAGCAAGGTGCTTCATAAACTACAACAAAAAAAGTCATTCACAACATTAAAATGTCAACATTTGTTGATAAATGTTGCTAAAAGGGTCTTTTGGCAACATTTTAGAAAGTGAATATTGCCATTGATTAGTATAAATGAGTTTTAGCAACGTTTTTTTAGAAAAAATGTTGCAATAGATCCCTTTTTGCAACGTTTGTTGAGTGCTCACTTTTCACAACGTTTGTTGAGTGTTGAATACTATTTTACGGATCTTTTATTAATCAACGAAGTGCCAAATAAAACGGAAGACGTTTATAAATTATTTGGAAATATTTCAAGTGATTTATTAAATCTCAGTAAAAAAAATTTGAAGATGGAAGTGAAGAACACAAATTAAATTCACAATAGAGTTGATTTGGTTTTTGGTTTCTATTGAAAATATAAATGTATATAATCTTAATATTTCACTTGGTTTGACAGATATTGATGAATGTAAGAGCAGTCCATGCGATGAAAATGGGAATTGTACAAATACTCCGGCTAGCTTCAGCTGTCATTGCAAACATGGATACTCTGGCGACGGTAAAAAAGATGGCCGTGGTTGTATTGCTGAGAACTCCCAGTTCCCAGTAATCAAGTTCTCACTAGGTCATTCTTCTTCTAATTATAAAGCATATGTACCCCTTTCATGTTCTATTGTGAAATGTCCAATTTGGAAGTCAATTTTACATAATTTTAATTTTTTACTTGTTCTTCAGTTTGTTTCGATAATAAATAAGAGTGAAAAAGACTCTAGTGCTTATGTTTGGCAAATTTATAAACGGTTTATAAAGATAAATAATAGCGAGTCTCACAAAATGTATGAATAGTAATGAGTAGCTATAAATGTGTAATTGAAATTATTATTTGATTTTGATAGAATTTATAAATAAATTAAATTTGTATCCAACGAGAGGCTAAGTCTCTCATGTTTAAAAATAGGACAAGAAAATGTTAAATCTGAATGAAATTTTGTTCGTTATCCAGTATTTTATGTAATGTTTTCAGGTTTCAGCATGGTCTTCGTGTCTATAGTCATTGCTATGACATGGCTATATTTTAGCATTCAAAGAAGGAAGCTTGTTAGAATGAGAGAAAAATTCTTCAACCTAAATGGTGGGATGCTTTTGAAGCTGCAAATTTATTCAAATGAAGGTGGAGTGGAATCAACCAAAATATTTTCTGCTGAAGAACTTGGAAAGGCCACCAACAAGTATGTTGAAGATCGGATTCTTGGCAGAGGGGGCTATGGTTTAGTCTATAAAGGAATTCTATCTGATGAACGTGTAGTCGCAATTAAGAAGTCGAGAATAATGGATCAGGGCCAAATCGAGCAATTAATTAATGAGGTAACGTTCAACTTACGTTAAAAGAAGTTAATTTATTTAAATTTCAATCCTCAAGTTACAAAAAAAAAATCAATTTATTTGTATCTTCAGGTTAACACATACCAAGCTCCACACTTGTAGTTCATATTCATTTCTCATCAAAGGTCACGTGCACAATTTTCATACACCGCAAGACTTCAAGCATATAATCTTTGACACTTTGAGACCATGTAGAACTACCTTGTTTGAAATTTATGCTATTGAAGGCGAACAAATTTATTTATTTAAATTTTGTTTTCCACAGGTTGTTAATCTTACTCAGGTTAACCATCGAAATGTGGTGAAATTGTTGGGGTGTTGTTTGGAGGTTGAAGTTCCTCTTCTAGTATATGAATATATTTCAAACGGTACACTCTTTCACCATTTACATAATGGTGGTGAAATACCTTGGTTTTCTTGGGAAAATCGGTTAAAAATTGCTGCTGAAGCTGCTAGTGTATTAGCCTATCTTCACTCAGCAGCTTCTATGCCTATTATTCATCGTGATGTCAAGTCGAGCAACATATTACTAGACAACATGTATACCGCCAAAATATCAGATTTTGGAGCTTCGAGATTGGTGCCCTTGGACCAAACACAAGTGACAACACTAGTTCAAGGTACTCTAGGCTATTTAGATCCCGAATACTTCCACACGAGCCAACAAACCAAGAAACCTCTTTCACCAACGAAATCGGAAGAAGAGAGAAACTTGGCTACATATTTCATTATGTCCATTAAAGAAAACCGATTTTTTGAAATTCTCGAGCCTCGGATTTTGAGGGGAGGTAGTTTGGAACAACTGCAAGCTGTTGGTGAGTTAATCAAAAGATGCCTCAACTTGAAGAGTGATGAAAGACCAACAATGAAAGAAGTGGCAATGGAGTTGGAAGGATTAAGAAATATATGAAACATCCTTGGCATCAACAAGGAAATGCTGAAGAAAACATGGCGTTGTTGAGTGAACAATCAGACCTATATGATATCACATTAACAGGTCAAGAACTTACAACTTCTGGACAAGATAGTTTGTATACTGATATGTTATATCCTGGCAACAATCCTCGTTAAGTGATTTGTAATGACATTAATTATTTTTCCACTGGTTTAATTCTTTTCATGTCATATGAATGAGCATCCATGTGTATGTCAAGTATCCCACCTTCTCTTGTCAATCCAAGTTTTAAAATAAGTTGAAGGTGCAAAAATTTAAGCTCTTAGATAAGGCCACATGAATATCGTTTAAATATTAATTTCAACACATCCCTTACTTCAAGGCGAGATTTATTTCTTCTCATCAAAACTTTACACATGGACAAATTTTGTATAAATGTTTGGCACAAGATTTGAACCCAGCCAACTCTTTATTATGTAAAATGACTTGATCTAAAAACTTAAACATTTAGATATGACCAAATGTAAACCATTTAAATATCATCTCCAACAAAATATAGTTGTACAATATATATATAGGTGTAAAACGAGTTAACGGAAGTTTGATGGGATTCCTATTTGTACAAGAATTTCGGAAGGAAGCTACCTAGAATCTGTTTTGGACAGAAATACTCTGATACCAATTTATTGTAAGAAAATAAGATTATAAGCCACTTTATGAAGTAATTGAATGCAAGAGCAATGTAATTTTGTAGAGAATTGAGATTTTATTAGAATATGGAGAAAGAATACAAAGATTATGTGTTTGCAATGTTTCTAATTTCTTACTAAATTATAATGAAGAGCCTACTATATATAGGGAACAAATATGGGATGTTCAA